TTGAGGTACAAAGGACAGGGACACCAAGGTATTTGAAAGAAGAGACATAGTCTATTGATATGTTATCTAAAGTTTTCGTGGCCCACTTTTGCGGTTGTTGAACAAACACCAACATGGGTTCTTGAAAGGAAAATCATGCCTAACAAACCTTCTCGAATTATATGATAAAATGACAAGGATAAGGCAGGACAGAGAAGGATGGGCAGACTGCATATTTCGGGATTGCCAAAAAGCCTTTGATACAGTACCGCACAGGAGACTGCTATTCAAACTAGAGAGGCAGGCAGGAGTAAGCGGAAAAGCCCTGGCTTGGGTAAGGAACTATCTAACAGGAAGGAGCCAGCGAGTAACGGTGAGGGGCGAGAAGTCGGACTTGCGAACAGTAACGAGGGGAGAACCTGAATGATCGGTGCAGGGACCAGTTATATTTCTAATATACGTAAATGACATTTCAACAGGAGTAGAGTCCAATATGTCGATGTTCGCGGATGACGGAAAATTAATGAGATAAGTTTTGACAGAATATGATTGTAGGATCGTCCAAGAGGACTTTAACAGGTTGCAGAGATGGTCTGAGTAATGGCTACTGGAGTTCAACATGAGCAAATGTAATGTTTGTAAAAATGTAAAGCCATTACCGTGGGCCCGACCACACTTGGGCCCACAGTAATAGCTTTCACACTCTTACGCCCCAGTCAGATCACAATGAAATCACAATGACGTGATATATCAATGAAAATCATTTTGAGGCGCGTATTATTTGTATGAGTTTGAAACGAAGACGTGTTTTACATGCTGGTACATTTTGAACAAAACACCAATGTGTTGTTTGTAAACACGCACCCACGTGTTGTTTGTAAACACGCACCGAAGTGTCGTACATAAACACCCACCCAAGTGTCGTATATAAACACGCACCCAAGTGTCGTACGTAAACACCCACCCAAGTGTCGTACATAAACACGCACCCAATTATTATACATATGTGGAACATGAAGAAGCAAACAATCAGGTGGTGCTGGCAACAACAGTCAACAGCTCTAAACGTAAACAAGGAGTTGAATCGGTGATAATAACTGTAATCTCCCTCTCCCACACCTCAGGCAGGTTAATTGGCAAGCTGAATTAAAACATCGATATTCTGCTTTGATAACCCGTGGACCAGAGCGGACACGGGAAGTGATAATAAATATTCCTATTTTCTTTTACAAGGTGGTGTCATGCTTCTTATTATACACGTGAGAAACACTATCAAATGACAGAAAATTTGAATTAATTCCACCACAATGGTATTAATACCATTCCACCATCGATTGAGTGCCCTTACGGGCTATTCATGCCCGTGCCACCTCTTGGGTGGCGTAATGTTCATCAATCAATCGATTGATTGCCTATAAGTGGTGGATGGTCCGGAAGCTCACATATGCTTCCACGGAACTTCCACGACCGTCAATCACCCGGCAACACTCGTGGTGCATCTTGGGTAAAGTCTATTTCTCAAATCCTAGCACATAAGAACTGACACAACTCTACCCACATCACACAACCTTTGAACGCTAAGGCTTAGCTTTTCTCTCTAATGCATGCTAACACTTTTTTTCAGGGGGAACTAACTGATCGCTTTTCACCCATGTTGTATGTTCAATTTTTCCAGAGGAACCTATTCCTCCAGTTATTTTAATTCATATTTTAATTCATTTTTGCCCAACAGACGTCAGTCTGTCTCGGAGAGGAGGAGAAGGAGGAGGAGGAGGACCACAAGTCACACATTCTCTTCCTCTTTGTTCGTCTCTGCCTCTCACCTATAATAAACACATGTCCTCCTTCCCCCACGTTTGGTAAATCCATCCATTTTCCGCCCATAAATGCATCAATTACATCCCTTCCATTACAAAACGACAATGTAGGCGCTGCCATCCTGAGCGGGCGGCCTGATCCCCGGCTCACGACGCCCGCCCCAGTCACGCCTTAAGAGGAACGTGAATACTCTATCACGACCCGCGTTCCCCGTCTCCTCGGCCATTACGTCCTCCCTAGGGGTCCTGTGCCATTACTCTCTGATTATATAGAAATATATACGTCTCTGAATACTTTTCCCCTCACCCTCTATGCCATGTTTTAATTTATTTCCTCTTGCTATACGGAAAAATATTTGATGTATATTTGTTTAAGGCAGCTATGTAGATATTTATATATTTATTACAACACGGCGTTTCCTAGACACGCGCGGGTCGATCTTAGCTCAAGCTGGGAGGCCATTTGGTGTCTCCTAGGGTTATCGATCATTACTAAGTCAGTCACTATTCAACTCCTTGGCGCGCGGTGTCCACTCGGCCGTCGTGACCGTCTGTGAGAATTCATGAATATAAAGTTCTGTCATGAGTGGGTGTACGAGAGAGCCCCGGCATGTGTGGGTGTACGAGAGAGTTCCGTCATGTGTGGGTGTACGAGAGAGCCCTGGCATGTGTGGGTGTACGAGAGAGCCCTGGCATGTGTGGGTGTACGAGAGAGTTCCGTCATGTGTGGGTGTACGAGAGAGTTCCGTCATGTGTGGGTGTACGAGAGAGTTCCGTCATGTGTGGGTGTACGAGAGAGTTCCGTCATGTGTGGGTGTACGAGAGAGCCCTGGCATGTGTGGGTGTACGAGAGAGTTCCGTCATGTGTGGGTGTACGAGAGAGTTCCGTCATGTGTGGGTGTACCAGAGAGTTCCGTCATGTGTGGGTGTACGAGAGAGTTCCGTCATGTGTGGGTGTACCAGAGAGTTCCGTCATGTGTGGGTGTACCAGAGAGTTCCGTCATGTGTGGGTGTACCAGAGAGTTCCGTCATGTGTGGGTGTACGAGAGAGTTCCGTCATGTGTGGGTGTACGAGAGAGTTCCGTCATGTGTGGGTGTACGAGAGAGTTCCGTCATGTGTGGGTGTACGAGAGAGTTCCGTCATGTGTGGGTGTACCAGAGAGTTCCGTCATGTGTGGGTGTACCAGAGAGTTCCGTCATGTGTGGGTGTACGAGAGAGCCCTGGCATGTGTGGGTGTACGAGAGAGTTCCGTCATGTGTGGGTGTACGAGAGAGTTCCGTCATGTTTGGGTATACGAGAGGGCTCTGTCATGTGTGGGTATACGACAGCGCTCTGTCATGTGTGGGTATACGAGAGCGTTCTGTCATGTGTGGGTATACGAGAGCGCTCTGTCATGTGTGGGTATACGAGAGCGCTCTGTCATGGGTGGGTATACGAGAGCGCTCTGTCATGTGTGGGTGTACGAGAGAGTTCCGTCATGTTTGGGTATACGAGAGGGCTCTGTCATGTGTGGGTATACGACAGCGCTCTGTCATGTGTGGGTATACGAGAGCGCTCTGTCATGTGTGGGTATACGAGAGCGCTCTGTCATGTGTGGGTATACGAGAGGGCTCTGTCATGTGTGGGTATACGAGAGCGCTCTGTCATGTGTGGGTATACGAGAGCGCTCTGTCATGTGTGGGTATACGAGAGCGCTCTGTCATGTGTGGGTATACGAGAGCGCTCTGTCATGTGTGGGTATACGAGAGCGCTCTGACATGAGTGGGTGTACGAGAGAGCTCTGACATGAGTGGGTATACGAGAGCGCTCTGACATGAGTGGGTGTACGAGAGAGCTCTGACATGAGTGGGTGTACGAGAGCGCTCTGACATGAGTGGGTGTACGAGAGAGCTCTGACATGAGTGGGTATACGAGAGCGCTCTGTCATGTGTGGGTGTACGAGAGAGCTCTGACATGAGTGGGTATACGAGAGCGCTCTGTCATGTGTGGGTGTACGAGAGAGCTCTGACATGAGTGGGTATACGAGAGCGCTCTGTCATGTGTGGGTGTACGAGAGAGCTCTGACATGAGTGGGTATACGAGAGCGCTCTGTCATGTGTGGGTATACGAGAGAGCTCTGACATGAGTGGGTATACGAGAGAGCTCTGTCATGTGTGGGTGTACGAGAGAGCTCTGACATGAGTGGGTATACGAGAGAGCTCTTTCAAAGAAGGAATTCGAAGAGAATTTCTAGGAAATAAACTTGACGTGAAAAACGCTGTATAAAAATCTTTCAAACCATTTTATCATTTTACCAATGAGGGTAATATCCCTCATTACCATTGATGTCATCTGCTTATTGGTGTGACCAAAGCTATGTAGATATTTTATTTTAATTCATATATATGTCTTATGTCTCATATTTTATTTCATATAAATGTCTTAGCATTTCCTTCGGATACTTTCATGGATGGTTAGACATTGGCTACACAGACTGACTCTCACTCTCGTGCACACATACACGGACGCGCACACAACTTTTATCAGGTGCACTCAATCTTGTGTGTTCCAGATTGATTGATGAAGATTAAGCCACCCAAGAGGTGCCACGGGCATGAATAACCCGCAAAGGTGTATTCCACAGAGTGTAGACACGTCCTGGCCTATCATGGGGGAGGGAGGGGGGTGATGATTCCTCCTCCCCCCCCCCCGGCTCGCTTAGCACGACGTAAGGCGTCGTCGTCTCTTCTTCCCGGTCAAATGTTATTGTTGCATATGAGGTATTGCAATCATAAAGGAAATGGCCTCCCTGCTACGGCGCACCAGTTCCAAGATTGATTACTTGGCAACGAAACTGCGTGTAGTTCCTTGACGCCGGATCCCTGAGAGACCTCCGGGGTCCCTAAGAGACCTCGAGGGTCCCTGAGAGACCTCGAGGGTCCCTGAGAGACCTCGAGGGTCCCAGAGAGACCTCCAGGGTCCCAGAGAGACCTCGAGGGTCCCTGAGAGACCTCAGGGGTACACCGGGGGAATTGTTTACAAAAGGTCCCCGCTTCTATCCCCAAGGGGTCCTGAGGTCTCATTCACAAACATCTGGCCTCTTCGACCCGGCCCAAGCTCTCCACCTTCACTGCCACATCGGAAAAACTTGCCCTTCTTAACATGCATTATGCAAATTTCAAGTGTCAATCTGGCGGGGGGTCTCGTTGGCAGGGCTCTGGTCGTTAGTGTGTCCTCGACGGGACGACCGTCGCGGTCCAGGTCCCTCGACGGGACGACCGTCGCGGTCCAGGTCCCTCGACGGGACGACCCGTCGCGGTCCAGGTCCCACGACGGGACGACCGTCGCGGTCCAGGTCCCTCGACGGGACGACCCGTCGCGGTCCAGGTCCCTCGACGGGACGACCGTCGCGGTCCAGGCCCCTCGACGGGACGACCGTCGCGGTCCAGGCCCCTCGACGGGACGACCGTCGCGGTCCAGGCCCCTCGACGGGACGACCGTCGCGGTCCAGGCCCCTCGACGGGACGACCGTCGCGGTCCAGCGACGGGACGACCGTCGCGGTCCAGGTCCCACGACGGGACGACCGTCGCGGTCCAGGCCCCTCGACGGGACGACCGTCGCGGTCCAGGCCCCTCGACGGGACGACCGTCGCGGTCCAGGTCCCTCGACGGGACGACCGCCGCGGTCCAGGTCCCTCGACGGGACGACCGTCGCGGTCCAGGTCCCTCGACGGGACGACCGTCGCGGTCCAGGTCCCTCGACGGGACGACCGTCGCGGTCCAGGTCCCTCGACGGGACGACCGTCGCGGTCCAGGTCCCTCGACGGGACGACCGCCGCGGTCCAGGTCCCTCGACGGGACGACCGCCGCGGTCCAGGTCCCTCGACGGGACGACCGCCGCGGTCCAGGTCCCTCGACGGGACGACCGCCGCGGTCCAGGTCCCTCGACGGGACGACCGCCGCGGTCCAGGTCCCTCGACGGGACGACCGCCGCGGTCCAGGTCCCTCGACGGGACGACCGTCGCGGTCCAGGTCCCTCGACGGGACGACCGTCGCGGTCCAGGTCCCTCGACGGGACGACCGTCGCGGTCCAGGTCCCTCGACGGGACGACCGTCGCGGTCCAGGTCACCCGACGGGACGACCGTCGCGGTCCAGGTCCCTCGACGGGACGACCGTCGCGGTCCAGGTCACCCGACGGGACGACCGTCGCGGTCCAGGTCCCTCGACGGGACGACCGTCGCGGTCCAGGTCCCTCGGCGGGACGACCGTCGCGGTCCAGGTCACCCGACGGAACGACCGTCGCGGTCCAGGTCCCTCGGCGGGACGACCGTCGCGGTCCAGGTCCCTCGACGGGACGACCGTCGCGGTCCAGGTCCCTCGACGGGACGACCGTCGCGGTCCAGGTCCCTCGACGGGACGACCGTCGCGGTCCAGGTCCCTCGACGGGACGACCGTCGCGGTCCAGGCCCCTCGACGGGACGACCGTCGCGGTCCAGGTCCCTCGACGGGACGACCGTCGCGGTCCAGGTCCCTCGACGGGACGACCGTCGCGGTCCAGGTCCCTCGACGGGACGACCGTCGCGGTCCAGGTCCCTCGACGGGACGACCGTCGCGGTCCAGGTCCCTCGACGGGACGACCGTCGCGGTCCAGGTCCCTCGACGGGACGACCGTCGCGGTCCAGGTCCCTCGACGGGACGACCGTCGCGGTCCAGGTCCCTCGACGGGACGACCGTCGCGGTCCAGGCCCCTCGACGGGACGACCGTCGCGGTCCAGGTCCCTCGACGGGACGACCGTCGCGGTCCAGGTCCCTCGACGGGACGACCGTCGCGGTCCAGGTCCCTCGACGGGACGACCGTCGCGGTCCAGGTCCCTCGACGGGACGACCGTCGCGGTCCAGGTCCCTCGACGGGACGACCGCCGCGGTCCAGGTCCCTCGACGGGACGACCGTCGCGGTCCAGGTCCCTCGACGGGACGACCGTCGCGGTCCAGGTCCCTCGACGGGACGACCGTCGCGGTCCAGGTCCCTCGACGGGACGACCGTCGCGGTCCAGGTCCCTCGACGGGACGACCGTCGCGGTCCAGGTCCCTCGACGGGACGACCGTCGCGGTCCAGGTCCCTCGACGGGACGACCGTCGCGGTCCAGGTCCCTCGACGGGACGACCGTCGCGGTCCAGGTCCCTCGACGGGACGACCGTCGCGGTCCAGGTCCCTCGACGGGACGACCGTCGCGGTCCAGGTCCCTCGACGGGACGACCGTCGCGGTCCAGGTCCCTCGACGGGACGACCGTCGCGGTCCAGGTCCCTCGACGGGACGACCGTCGCGGTCCAGGTCCCTCGACGGGACGACCGTCGCGGTCCAGGTCCCTCGACGGGACGACCGTCGCGGTCCAGGTCCCTCGACGGGACGACCGTCGCGGTCCAGGTCCCTCGACGGGACGACCGTCGCGGTCCAGGTCCCTCGACGGGACGACCGTCGCGGTCCAGGTCCCTCGACGGGACGACCGTCGCGGTCCAGGTCCCTCGACGGGACGACCGTCGCGGTCCAGGTCCCTCGACGGGACGACCGTCGCGGTCCAGGTCCCTCGACGGGACGACCGTCGCGGTCCAGGTCCCTCGACGAGATGCCCGCCTCGCTCTAGGCCCAAATCTATATTCACCTCAAGTTTAAACTTTCCCCAAGTTCGTACCCCATCCAGGCTCTCACTGGGTCCAAGGCCTTATACTGGAGGCATATAAATTATTTATGACGGCTCGCGTATACTATTCAGCTCACATACTCGTCACCTTGTTAAGACAGAACATAACTTGGAACGAAATAAAACAGTAGACAACTTGTCTATTGTTTGTTAGACAAAACCCTTTAAGCTAACCTCTTACACACACACACACACACACACACATCCTTACTGGAGTGTGGTGTGTGTGTATCTGACTGGAGGAGTGTTACTTGCGGAGTACCACAGGGTTCAGTTCTTGCACCAGTAATGTTCATCGTCTACATACACGATCTACCAGATGGAATACAGAATTCTATAAACATATTTGCGGATGACGCTAAGATACTGGGGAAGATAAGAGACGTAGACGATTGTAATGCCCTTCAAATCGAACTAGATAAAAATTGACGTTTGGAGCGTCAAGAAGCAAATGGGATATAATGTGAAAAGATACTATGTAATGGAATGTGGAATCGAAGAAAATAGATCACACACAACTTATAAATTATGTGGAATGGAATTACAGAACTCAAATAAAGAACGAGACCCACCTGTGGTTTAGAATAGTAAGCTGTCGCCAGAGGAATACGTAAAGAACATTGTGAGAGGAGCGTATGATTCGCTTTCCAACTTCAGACTTGCTTTTAATTATATGTATGGTGAAATGCTAAAGAAACTGTTCATGATTTTTGTGAGACCATAATTGGAATATGCAGTTGTATGGTGCCCAAATCTCAAGAAGCACACCAATAAACTGGATAAGGTACAGCGGCATGCTACAAAATAGCTTCCGGAATTTAAAAATAAGAGTTACGAGGAGAGACTAGAAGCGTTAAAAATGCAAAAACTAGAAGATAAAAGAAAAAGAAGTGACATGATCACCTCCTTCAAAATACTAACAGGAATCGGTCAAATTGACAAAAAGGGATTCCTGAAACCAGTCACTTCACGAACAAGAGGACACAGATTCAATCTAAGGAAACAAAGGTGCCGAAAAAATATTAGAAAGTTTTATTTTGCAGAGTTTCAGACGGTTGGAACAAGCTAAGTGAGGTGGTGGAGGCTAAAAATCCCAATCACACAGGATGGTTAGTCACACAGAGGCATGTGATAAGTAGTCTGCACTGGCAAACTCTGGGTGCATTATAAAAATATCATCGTGAACACGAGAATGAATAAAGTAATTGCAAAGCTCCAGGTACCTCGTGCCAATGTGTCTGAATGGTTCTAATAACTGGGCATTCGGTTATGTAGTGTGGGAGATCATGCCGCAGTTCCTGCTCACAGAGTTTGCACCTGGAGTGCTCAGGATTGGGAGATCCGTCACCTGTAGCCACCTGCTACAGGTAACGGTAACCCAACCTTATCCTGGCAACCACTGTGTCGCACAGTCTGGTGGACGTTTTGTGCTGCCCATAGATATAGGTTTCAGATCTGAACAAATCATAACTTTTTATACAAGTACTTTCAGGTCGTTGGGAGTCAGTAATTTCTTTCCTATCAGACCTGAGTGTTTGGACCAATACAGTTTTGACAGCAGAGATGGGGATACCTAGATCTAATTCAACTTAATCTTTGTTACACGCTAATTTGGCAGCAATGTCTGTCTCATTATGATGGGTTATATTTTTTTTTTATTAACATATTAGGTACATCTGCATTAGTGCAGCTACCCTAGACTATATGAAGTGGAGTACAGTGTGTCAGAAAGAAGCTAACTAGGTGATGCTAAAAAATCCCCATCACACAGGATGGTTAGTCATACAGAGGCATGTGATAAGCGGTCTGCACTGGCAGACTCCGGATGCATTTTGAGAATATCAACACCACAAGATTGAATAAGGTAGCAGTGGTAATACAAGTCCCCATCTCGCAGGATGGTTAGTCATACAGAGCCATGTGTTTAATAGCCTGCACTGGCAAATTTTGGGTATACTGTGAGGATATCTTCAAGAATACGAGAGTGAATAAAGTAATTGCAAAGCTCCAGGTACCTCATGCCAACTGGTCTGAAAGGTCTAATAACTGGGCATTCAGTGATGTAGTGCGGGAGATCATGCCGTAGTTCCTGCTCACAGAGTTTGCAACTGGAGTGCTCAGGATTGGGAGACCCGTCACCTGCAGCCACCTGCCACAGGTAACGGTAACCCAACCTGATCCTTGCAACCACTGTGTCGCACAGTCTAGTGGACGTTTTGTGCTGTCCATAGATGTAGGTCTCAGATCTGAACAAATCATAGCTTTTTATACTAGTACTTTCAGGTCGTTGGGAGTCAGTAAGTTCTTTCCTATCAGATCTGAATGTTTGGATCAATACAGTTTTGACAGCAGAGATGGGGATACCTAGATCTAATTCAACTTCAAACTTGTTACACGCTAATTTGGCTGCAATGTCTGTCTCATTATGATGGGTTATATTTATGTGTGAAGGTATCCATACAAAGGAGATTCGAGACCCTTTACTCTGTGCATCAATTAGGTCATTTATAATTGGGAGTATGAGGTTCTTGCTGTCGATCTTCCAAGAGAAGTTTTCGATTGCTTGAAGAGCAGACTTTGAATCGCAGAATATTATTCCTCCTCCAATGTTTTTTAATGTGCTGGTTGCTAAATGTAATGCTGCTAGTTCTGCTTGTGTGGAGGTCAGCCAGTTGTTTAACCTGACACTGACAGTCTTTGTGCAAATATTATTTCTATAAAACCTACATGCCGCTGCAGTCCGTCCAGTAGAAGACTGGACTGAGCCGTCCAGTAGACACAGTGCTCGTGAGATCTTAGACTCTCGATGGAGGAGGCAATTGTTTCAAGAGTGACAGCTTTGAGTAGAGCAAGATTTCCACATTTAGGTACATTTCAACACTACGGACAAATTATGCCCGATTTCATCTCTTATTCATTTCAGACGTCTTGAAAATCGCTCGGGGTTGTTGGGTTACTGGCGATATTTCTTAAAGCATCTAACTTAGACCTACGCAGATCAGCTTATGTCCGTGCCATACCCCGGACCATTCCCCTTACAAATTTGGGTGAGACTGGGGCCCCCCAAGGACCGTCAGGTGCGCCACCCGGACATAAGGGCTACCCTATGAGCTGTCAAGGGTGCCACAGGGACTATTAAGGGTGCCACAGGGACTGTCAAGGGGGGTCACGAGGACCGTCCAAAGTGCCAAAACCGGCAGGGTTACCAATAGCACGCCAGAGGTACCTCCAGATTATCAGGGATCATACAAGCCCGTCAGGGATCATACAAGCCCGTCAGGGGTACCACAAGCCCGTCAGGGGTACCACAAGCCCGTCAGGGGTACCACAAGCCCGTCAGGGGTACCACAAGCCCGTCAGGGGTACCACAAGCCCGTCAGGGGTACCACAAGCCCGTCAGGGGTACCACAAGCCCGTCAGGGGTACCACAAGCCCGTCAGGGGTACCACAAGTCCGTCAGGAGTACCACAAGCCCGTCAGGGGTACCACAAGCCCGTCAGGGGTACCACAAGTGCACAAATACCTCCTGCGTCCCAAATCTCAAAAGTTGATATACTTATATCGCATGAAAAAACTGCTATGGAGTGTTTTAAGATTTTTTTTTATCAATTACATTAATTACTTGTACTGTAACGCACCTACTGATATATTTGGTGTCGTGAGTGACGAACATCTTGTCTTTACTAAGCAGGTGGAAGATGTGGCAGGTAAATTAATTAGTCAATTAACGTCGCTTAGAGGCAGAGATGTGTATATATACTCTTGCACTCCGAAACTTACAAATTAGTTCAGGTATTGTCGTTTATTTGGGATTTTGGTCGTCGGACAAGGTATAATATACAAGATAGGGGCCACAAATCGTGCGAAATGGGGGATGGGGGTAAAGGGTGAAGTTGTTATACCCGAACTCTATATAGATATTTATATATAGAGTATATACATAATCTATATATATATTTATATATCCGATGACCTTGTGAAGGAAATTCTACCTGCCTACTTACATCAGCTGGCAGGTCTACAGGATCCCAATTGTACACGCTGTGCCACAGAGTGGGGCCTCTCGTGCAGGCCCATCACCTCAACCACCATCCCTAAAAGCCCACAAATAATCCAGTTGGGATGGCCCCATTGTAGACCAAGTTGCTGCAGAGTGCCCGGGTGCTGCAACAACACAACACGATGTTGCTCGCCTCACAGCAGTAGCAGCCCCACATGCAGGGGATTTCCTGTTAGCAACCCCAATGTCGGCAACTGGCACACGCCCTCCGAATTGCTGTTACACTCCGCCTTGCTGCCCCAATCCACACCAGATATAGGTGTATTTGCGGCGAGGTTGTGGCTGACAGGTACGGCCACCATGGCCTACTCTACCAAAGCCCAGGGGGATGGCACTCGAGGCACAGTGAAGTTAACGACATCATCAAGAGGAGCCTCACCACAGCTGGATGCCCAGCTGAAAGAGAGCCCCGTTACCTAACGCCCCGTAACTCTGATGCTCTTATTGGTCGCCCGGATGGTATCACAGTGAACCCCTTAAGAATGGCAAGCAGTTGGTATAGGACTACACGTGCGTATCAACCCTGGCTAACACCTACATTGACTTCAGTGTTGCACAACCAGGTGGCGCTGCCACCCCCAGGCAATCAGCCAAATCCCGTAAGTACAGAGAACTGGATCACCACTACAATTTTGTCCCCATTGCTTCTGAGACACACGGCATCTGGGGTAAAAGTTCTACCAATTTTTTTAAGGAACTGGGTTCTAGGCTAATTGAAACAAGGGACCCTAAAGCTGCCAGCTTCCTTTTCCAGCGTCTCACCATAAAAATACAGAGGGAAAATGCTCAATGCATTCAGGGTTCCTGCCCGCCATCTGAGGAGCTGGAGGAACTCGACAACTTGTGATAATCATCTTTGTACCCGATATGTAACTCCTT